TATAGTAGATATTGTACATACTAGTATATTATATAGTAATAACTGTGAACAAGTAACTATAGTACATATAATATATAGTAAATATAGTAGATATTGTACATACTAGTATATTATATAGTAATAACTGTGAACAAGTAACTATAACTGTAAACAAGTAGGCCTAACTAACTGTGAACAAGCAAAATGTACACACAAGACCATAATATAGACAGAATGATAGATAATATTTAAGAGCAAACCATAACTAAATGTGAACAATTAACTACAGCTGTGAACAAGTATAGACCTAACTATAACCGAACAAGCCAAATGTACACACAATACCATAATATAGGCAGAATGATAGCTAATATAACATACTATAATAACATAATATAACATAATATAACATAATAGCAAGCCATAACTAACTGTGTAACTATAACTGTAAACAAGCCAAATGTACACACAAGACCATAATATAGACAGAATGATAGATAATATTTAAGAGCAAGCCATAACTAAATGTGAACAATTAACTATAGCTGTGAACAAGTATAGACCTAACTAACTGTGAACATATAATATATAGTAAATATAGTAGATATAGTACATACTAGTATATATATCAGGAGATATATAGTAAATATAAGGACACTTGAAGGCCTGCTAACTGTGAACAAGTAACTATAGTACATATAATATATAGTAAATATAGTAGATATTGTATATACTAGTATATATATAGTAAATATAAGTACACTTGAAGCCCTGCTAACTGTGAACAAGTAAATAAAGCTGTGAACAAGTAACCATAACTGTGAACAAGTAGGCCTAACTATAACTGTGAACAAGCCAAATGTACACACAAGACCATAATATAAGCAGAATGATAGATAATATTTAAGAGCAAGCGCGATACCTTTACAGTATATAGTTTACAGTCATATGCACCCCCCCCATACATTACGTGTCCAATCCACAGATGACGTTTGAGGTCGACAATGATTTCAGTTGGTTAGGATAACCGTTATACGTATAGTTATAATTTTACTTACACTTATACTTATAATTATATACTCATACCTATGGCTATATACATATATGCCAGGAGTACATAATAGGGGATAATAATCCCTATTATCTACTCCTGATATATGCTCATACTTATGGCTATATACATATATGCTCATACTTATGGCTATATACATATATACTTATACTTATGGCTATATATATATATATATATTTGTGTTCCTGGCAAAACGTGTTGGCTGTTTAATATGAGCAGCAGCCCAACACGTAACAATACATACATAAGTTTAATTAGGAGTCAAGAGAAACCTCGTGGCCAAAACACGTAAACTCGCAGCCGACTGGCCGTCATGTCCTAACCCATCAGCAGCAGCAGTTTAATTATCACGTACGATATCTTACGTGAGGCTAAACACTTCATTTATCTGCCCGTATATCGTGGTTCTCGTTCCGCTATAGCGACTGCGAAGCCACTCGAAACACTCACCCAGAATAAGCGTTTTCTGTGAAATCATGCGTGTGCGTGCATGCGTACCTTCGTGCAAGTGCAAGTGCAAACGCGCGTGTATATGTTGTGATAGATGGTACTGGTACCTAGACGTTACAGATGACCAGAAGCCGTAACACAGCGAAATGTTTATTTAACCTATAGCCTACAATAATCATTGTTACCCCCCAGTATCTGATTTATATTTATATTTATATTTTGACATTTATTTTCGCTTTAAAAAGTTTACATGGTTACATAAATGTCACGATTTTTTAAATAAATCTGTCTTCTACTTTCTCCAGTCGTAGATGGTGGTTGCAAGATAACTGGAAGTAAGGTTATAAAACAGGTTTTGACTATGTATTTAGTATCAGACAATACAAAGTAATTTGTAATAAACAGCGTATTAAACCGTGACATGAGATGTGTTCTCAGGCTGGGTACTATGACTCACATTGGTGCGACAGCGGGCAGGGTAGCAAAGTGGATTCCACGAGTCCGAAGTAATTCAATCTTCCAGGATCTGCCGTCTACATGGACCGATGACGTCACGATGACGTATATCCTTTGCGGTGGCTGTGGTTTACCTGAATAAAATAACATGTACAGCAAAGAAGCTTATATATTCTGTCGTATATATGGCACATACCGTGGACAATCGCGCATACGCACACGTTCACGCGCACAAGTGCTCACTCACATACACGAAAGAACAGCACACGCACGCACCTGCACACACTCGCACGCGCACGCACACACACAAGCACGCGCACTCACCTGCACACACAAGCACGCGCACGCACACGCACGCACCTGCACACACTCGCACGCGCACGCACACACACAAGCACGCGCACATGACCCGGCCATGTGATGTATTCTCCGATTTATCTGGTTTTTGGATCGTACCTGCAGAAAGACAAGTTTCTCTGGTTAACATTGTGTACAGTTTGCAATGCAACTGGAGAATAAAGTTTCCACATTAAACCAGCTTACATTAGGTTTTTCAAACCTTGCATAAGAAATTCAAATATGAACATTCAAATGAGCAATAGTTGTTTGTTATTTGTTAATTTACTTGTTAATTGGTTAAGGTTATGGTTAGTGTTAGGGTTAGGTTGTAGGTTATGTACAGATTAAATAGACCATAGTACATGCTATTCATTATTTAGAGCAACAATAATCACATTTCTCCTTTTATTGGCATTGCAAATATATACACTGAGCAATTTACGCCACTGGCATTGCAAATAGATTATTATTGCACGATATTTTACTGGCTCAAAATTGTAACCTTTCAGAAGAATGCAATGGGCAGGGTTACGTACCTCGTAACACGTTCCATCCCACTATCGCCTTGCTCTGGTGGTTGCCATGGCGACTGCGATGCCGCTCGGAACGCTGACCCGGAACGAGCGTTTACGGTTTTTCTGACGGTTATGTGTGCGGTCGTGGAAGTTGTGCGTGCGTGCGTGCATATGTGGGTGCGTACATGCTCGCATGTGTGTGTGCGTGCGTGCATATGTGGGTGCGTACATGCTTGCATGTGTGTGTGCGTGCGTGCTCTGGTACTATCTAATATGCCGAACCGTACCTCCCCTACTCCACTAACGAGTCTAGGGAGTCGCCTACGCCTACTCCCTAACCCGAACCCTAATCCTAACCCTAATCCTAACCCTAACCATATCAAATAGTGACCAGGGTACATTCTGGTATACCGGACCGTACCCAGGGTACGTTCCGGGAGTACCCTGGGGGACATAGACCCTATGAGCAATACGCAACAACCTAAAACTACCTCGGGTACATATCTGTAGTCTGTAGACTGTAGTACCTGATACGACAACGACCCCATATACTTAGCTACTACTAGTACTAGGCTTAGTAGCTCTAGGGCCCTATAGCCCGCGGATCGCTGCCGCAGCGATCCGCGGGCTATAGTACTCGAGCTATAGGCTTAGCCGCTTAGTACAGATCTGCAACACAAAAATACATTATACGATGTATTACCGTTGGCAAAGCCTTTCCCTGTTCAACTTGTGTAAATTCATGGAGACATACAGCGTGTCCTCCCCTAGGCAGAAGCTAGGAGCAGCTCTCATCGCCGAACCAGCCATGATGTCGCTGCAAGATTACTGCAGTCGCACCCAAAGTACAAAATTGGGTCCCAAACTTGGAATTTGCACAATCGTGCAGCGCCGCAGAGCGGTACGTTTTGGAACAAGAGTTTCGCGTGTGCATGCGTCAAAGGCATCATGACATAATATGTAAACAAACGTTAACCTTCATTAACAATAATATAAATATAATAATAATAATGAATATATGATGATATCAATTCGTCAAATGACAAACTTGTTATTCGACTCAAATCACTGACAAATGGTCGCAGGGACGTGTAGATTTTAAGATAAAAAAGCGCGATTAAAAACCACTGTTCTGATTGACTGGATTAAAATAGATTTTAAGCGCGATTAAAATAGGTAGGTTTTGTGTGTGTGTGTGTGTGTGTGTGTGTGTGTGTGTGTGTGTGTGTGTGTGTGTGTGTGCGCGTGTGTGTGTGTGTGATTATTTGCGTTACTCAGCTATAGGCGCGTATTCTATTCATGAAAGAGCAATGCAATGAATCACAACTAAACCATGCGCGTGCTGCTATGTAAACATATTTGTATGTAGGCAATGTGCACAGTATAAATCTATTATTATTATTATTATTATGCGTGTGCGTGTGTCAGTTCTATATAGACGTTATGCTATCTGTTTTATTGTAAATATTCAAACAGATTACCCAAACCCTCTCCCCCACACACACATACACACACACACACACACCACAACACACACACACACACACACACACACACCACACCACAACACGCTCACACACACATAAACACTACCTCCATTGTAATCGCGCCTTAAAAATCTGTTTTAGAGCACGATTGAAACTTCACGTCAATCAGAACAGTGCGGGGGCCGTTTTTAATCGGCGTTTAAAATCTATTAAAAACCACTGTTCTGATTGCTGGATTCAATCACACTAAAATAATTTTTAAGCGCGATTTAAAATAGGTAGGTTTTTGGCGGTAATTGCCTTTCATACCTGCCTGCCTGCCCATGACTCGCTGCGATTCATGGTTGACTATGAATTACACACACGAGGCTTCACGCGACAGCGGGCACACGGGCCGCCCAGACGGGCCAGAGATAACACGCAGGCGCGGACATTGCGCGCACGGCGACGCGTGGTGGTTGCTAGCGTCAAGTGAATTCATTTATTTCATATAGAGTAAACTACTTAAATATTTAAAAGGGTGAAGAGTGCAACGATAAGCATATATATATATACTTATATAGATATGTACGTTTTCCCGTTACGTGCGGACCTCTCCACACTGTTCGACCACTGATGTGTACACGATCGGCACAAAACAACAACACAACTTCAAAAAATGACAGTGTTTACGCGAATAGCGGGTCCGGGCTTTTTATTCCGCCTCTTTTGCGTTCACCGGACCAGAGTGGGGCCATTAAAACGTACAATATTTTCCTCGCCGGCGTAAGGCCGGGCGGCGGCCGGGCGGCCCCGAGTATAGCGAACAAGATAACTAGGCGCCAAGGCCTTCACCAAAACGACCTCTGTTAGAGAGCGGGCCCCAAGTCCTTGCCAGAGAAAATCGCCGCTGGATTGCTTCGTGCTTGTAAAATCTGCGGTTGTGCTTCCTCTCGGACGGATTCGCTCCTTGGTGAATGTCTGCCGCGGTTTCACTAGAGCCTGCCGGCTGAACGAACTGCAACTCACGCCTGAACTGAACGCAACTGAGCCTGCCTAAACTGGCTTCTAAACCGAGCTTCTAAACTGAGGCCTTCTAAAACTGCCTGGTGCTCTTGGGGAGCCACGGTATTTCATACGGGCTCAGAGCAGGCACGTCACGCACACACGTGGGACATGGCACGTCGGCTTCAGCGTGTCACGCTAAGTCAGCCTTCAAAGACGTGACTTCGCAACGGCCGCTTTTAGACGTGACACCGCACGCCGCTTTAGACATGACCACGTGGGTCAGGCTTCACCCGTGACCAGCACGTCGGGGCCTTCGACGTACCGTTACGCGGCTTCACCGGACGGCACGCGTCTGCTTCGCCCGACGTGACGCACGTCGGCTTCGCCGACGTGACGCACGCTCGCCCGGTTTCACCGTGACCGGTCCGTCGGGCTTCGGACACGCTCCGTGCGGCCCAGCACGTGCCGATTTGGCCCTTTTTTTTTTACACGTGGCGCGTGAAGCCCCTCACATCCCGGGGATGCTGGGACCGTTGCTTCGAGAGCAGAACGCGGATGTTTTGGATGCCTTGCGGCAGAACGCGAAAATTTTCGTCTCATACCCCCCTTCCGCCTTTTCAGTCTTCGGCCGCGAGATCGACCAATGGGCGGCGCCTAACGAACCTTCGGCCGCCAAGCCACACCCAGGATAGCGCATTCCGTTACTCACGCCTGCAAGTTTAGTGCGGGCGTTTACTCGCCCACTATCTTCCCAGATCGTCCACCGCCCACTCTTACGATCAGCCGGGTCAAGCGGGGTGATCGCCAGAGTTCCTTGTGCGTTTGCGTGCACACCGCGGAGAACCGGGAGAGCAACCCTAACTGTTGTTCATTCCCCGTACTCACAACGCGGGGATATCCTGCCCGCTGCCGATCGCAGGGAGTACAGGGATTAGCGGAGTCTCGTATATCACGAGTAGCTGGCCTTCAACCCGTGACCTATAACGCCTTCCCGGTCTAACCCGGTGTTCCTGGCCCAGTTGACGTCAAGCGTCAATACCTAACGTGCCCACGACTGTAGAACGGTCAACCCGTTCGGTACAGATGCACTGTACCGCGCCTCAG